AAATATATATTTTCAATAAAAAGAAACCAAAATATATTCAAAATTTAAAATTTTAATAAAAGTTAAGAAATTAATTAGATAAAACTGATCATAAGAAAAAAAATAGCATATATATATTTTGGGAACACCCTATTACATGAAGGGCATTTTAGTCCGTATGAAAAATTTTGGATGGGACATGAAAATTGGGACTATGCTGTAGAAAAAAAATAGGGGATGACTTGAGTGTTCCTTGCCAGTTTTTTTTTAATAAGAGGATAAATATCCGTATAAAAAAGAAAGAGAACGGTGGAGTTAAGATCCACGCTCACATATTTTTTTTTAAACTTCTTAACCACGTCGAGAGGTTGAAAAAGTGCCTCGTGGATAGAACTTTAAGTTCTGAATTCACGCGATTTTGTGATTCGAACATTTATTTTTTTGATATTTTAAATCAATTTAATTATCACGATTTATATTTTTATGAGATATTATTCGTTTTGATTTCTCTGATCTCATAATTTTATTCTACAAAAGATACCTCATAAGGTAAAAATGGTGTAAATTTTTTTATACTTCAGTGACATTTTTATTATGTTCGATGTGAGATTCAGGACTCTTTTTTAGATTCGTGACATTTTTCTTCACTCAATCTCATGATGCTTTTGTCACGTTATCCTATCTATGTCTTTCGAGGTGCTTGACGTGGATCGAACGGTATAGCGCTGACTCTGATATCACTTGTCACGGATCAAGACTTATGCTTCGAATCCGCGTGGCTCTAGGATCCGAACATCCACTCTTTCGACATCCCAGATTAACCTAACCACCACGGTTCATACTCTTACGATGTATTATCCGTTTTGACCTCCTCTGACCTCACGATTTTATCCTATAAAAAATGTCTCACAAAAAAAAATAATGTGAATCTTTTTATATCTCAATAACTTTTATATTATGTTCGATGTAAAATTTATGATTCTTCTTTAAATCCGTAACATAGCAACGTGGCTTAATGTCCAAATGAGTGTTGAAAAGCGATGATGGCTGTGGCTGCCCTTAGAATTCCCCTCTTCTTTGGATATATGGAAAAATATTATGAATGTGTTTGTGCTATAGACAGTTTAGGCTAGGATTGTGTAGAAGGAGAAAACGCCATTGCAGAGGATTTGTTCTCTGGGATTGCCAGACGGCTAATAATAATACTTTAAGTTAGCATCGGGTATCGATGTCATTTTTATGATTATTATGATAATTTAATTATTAAAATGATTTTATTATTGGGATAATTTTGTCAATTATAATTTAAAATCATTTTATTTAATTAAAATTTTTTAATTTTTAGTAATTAAATATTATTATATTGTTTTGTTTGGTATTATTAAAAATAAAAAAAAATTATTTTATTTAAAAGTATCAAAAGAATCATGTATATTGTAATAATTATACAAATTAATAATTTTAATATTGTTTAAATTTTATAATTTGTAAAATATTAACAATATTTTGTTTATTTCTTAATAAAATATAAGTTATTAAATTAAAAATATATTTATTAATAAGTAAATTAATTTTTATAATATAAATTTATTTATGCAGAGCTGACTTCGAAGGGTAAAACCCTGAAATAACAAGAGAGACAAAAAAGCGATTAAAAATAAAGGCTAGATAATCCCAGCGTTTGCAATCCCACATTTAAGTTAGATAGATCAGAAAAGGGCGTAAGAAGGAGATAATTAAAAAGTAGTAAAAAAGACGATAGATGGACAGTACTAGTTGGATGGCGCTATACCTGTGATATGGGAGGTTTTGGACAACATAGACTACCTAAGGTCAATACTGATGACCTTGGTAGGCCCAAGCTGCACTAACAGTTGATTTTTCATTTAAGATAAAATAAGTCTTGGAGGTCTAACATGTAGACTTTATAAGGTAGTCAAGTTAAGAATTCAGGTCAATTTGATGCATTATTTTGGTCAAATGTTTGAAATATTTTTAGTTACTTGTTGATTTATACTAATGAGTTAAAAGTTTACTTTGTCTTTTAGATCTAAAAATACTCTTAACAAAATTATGTAAATAAAATATTTGAATTAAAAAATAAAATTAATTTATTAAAATCAAAATATCTTATTATATTATATATAAATTTTAAAAAATAAAAAATAAAAAATTAAAAATCATACAAATTATTTTTAAATTTATTATAATGAATATTAGATTAAACTATAAAAATTTACATATAAAATAATTAGAGTTAAATTTAAGAAAAAATAAGTTTTAAATTCATATATTAAATGAATAATATTTACTCTTATTAATTTTATATATTTTTTCATTTTGATAATAAAATTTTTTCAATTTTTTGGATGAGAATTAATTCACTATCCAAGTCAATGATTTAATCATATAATCTTATATTATTATCATGTGAAATCTTTAATTAATTACCAAACATATGATAATCTAATTATTATACGTAAATCATCATAATTTTTTGAGTGATTGCCTTTTACCACCTAAAATTTTGAAACTCTATTACCTTAAAGTTGCCTCGTAACTCAACCTGTCTACTTTTGTTTGTAGTCTAAATCTTTGGCCAAACCTATACATTCTGGTTGTTAAAATCTATGAGGGCTCCTATATATATATATATATATATATATTTTTTTTTTTTCCCCTTAGGCAAGATCTTGAGGAATGATGTTAACAAGTTTGCTGCATGTTCTCTAAAAATTTGTTTGATTAGCATTCTGACAAAATTAGTGCAGCATTTTCTTCAACAAACACTAAATTTATAATCAAAATTTGAAATGTCAAATGGATTAAGTCTAACAGTTAAATTGATCTAGTTCTGTAATATGGGCATTCTAAGTACAGTAACTTACTTAGGTTTAGTCGTGGTGTCATGACAGGTTCTTGATCAAGTTTAGCTAAAGGGATCAGAGTGATGGCGCACTTTTATTTTAAATTCCGTGTTATCTACGGATATAAGCAAATAAAATGTTTGACGAACAATTTGTAAATAAATTTGATTTTTATTTTTTATTAAATTTAAAAATTTATTATAAATAATATTTCAAAATACGATAATTAAACGAATAAATTATGAATAGAATAAAATTTATTTATAATTGATTTATCTATATCCAAAGTACAAAATGAATAGAGCATTTGAATATACTTGGCTTTTGTTTGTTTATATAATAAATAATTACGAATAATATTTTAAAGTTCGTTAATAAAATGAACAGATAATATATCAAAATTCATTCATATTTGATTTATTTGAACTGTTAACTATGAATCATTTTCTCAAGGAAAATCAGATCTCTACTGTCAATTACCATGGCAAGGTGCCTGCAGAACAAAGGTGAGATATTACAGGATGTACATAGTAGATATAGTGAGGGTTATATAGAATGCACCTATGCATGTAATTTGTCCAAAGTAAATAGTCTAACTGTTTTCCTTGTTAAAACAAGGTTGAAAACCTGAATAAGTTCAAGAGTGATGCTGGAGACTCTCCCACATTGGTTTGCACGGTCTTGGCTGCTAGGGGACTGGACTTGTTCTCTCAAACCTGAACTCCTTTGCTGCTATGCCCCCTTTCTTTAAAATTCTATTTGGTCTTAATTTTCTTAATTTGGCCTTCTACATCGACTCATCGCCGTGGAGGAACTGCACGTATGGGTGCAAAAGGTCAGTGACTTTTTCATTTCAAGTCTATGCATCACTTATTTTTATCTCTATTCACTTAAATAAATATTAAAATGTATTTCATATTTCACATTAATTGTGAAACATAATTTTTGTATAAAACACAATACAAATAATTATAAGCACTTTACATTATACAAATACATAATTGTTAGGTCTACCTACATATGCTTTATCAACTTCACTAATCTTTAATCTTTCTTCTTTCAACCAAAGAGTAAAGTGTTCTGTATGGAAATTTGCCAGATTTGGTTATGTATCAACCCCGAACAACCATGATATTGTTATCAATAGACTATTTCTACTTTCTCCTTGGAGACTTTGTTCATTGACCCCCTTTTCACCGTAAAAGAAAAAAAGGAAAAAACCAATTTGTATATTACTTCTGTTATTGCATCTTTAAATGGACAAAAGCTAATCAGTGTTGTAAAAGGAATCTTTCCATGAAATTTTGCATCTAATATCATATCTTCTTTGTTTCCACTTAGATGCAAAGGGCATTTTTATCAGGTTTAGAAATATTCTTAAGATTTGTGACCAAAATATTCAGTTTTCAAGGAAAGTAACAAGTTTGGTGGCCAGAAGATCTTATTGTTGGTAATGTCTGAAGGGAAGGGATATTGGAAGGGCTAGGATAACTGAGCATAAGGCATTGATTTTCATCCACTTTGACCGTGTGCCATAGTTTATAATGATTAAAGTAGAACTACATCTAATGCAATGTATAGAATTCGATATTGCATGGCTTAAATATATATTCCAGAAAGCTTGTTTACTGTCATTATCCTGATATATATAGTTCTAGTCGACACACTCTTCATGAACCTCAACTTCTCATGACTTCCAGGTGACGCAGAAGACGGTGAGGGGTTTTGGAAGGGGTAACAATGTTGCCTTCAGAATCATATATTATGCCCCCGTAAAAATCTGGCAGCTGACATTTCTCTCCCATGAGTATGTTCTTAATTCTGCCAAACTGGTTGTTCACGGCTGAACATGCATAATTGTGTCGATGTCTCCAGGTTAATAGCCATTGTCTTCCGCTGTCATTAATTGATGGTTTATTTCTAAGACAGGATCTTCATCGAAAAACTCATAGCAAGCTCTCCATTGACGACGCCATTTGGGTGAGTGGAAGCACATTTGCACAAATTACTTTCCTTCTTTTTAATTATATTTTCTCTTTATATTAAAAAAAAAGGCTTTATCTTTAAATAATTGGGCCCATTTAGCATTGGCAAATAGGCTTAAGGTCCAATCTGACCGGCCTATTCTTATTCTACGCCGTAATTGTTCTCTCTAAAAAGTTTGGGGGTTGCGTTCTCTTCTTCTTCACATTTGTCTGTGTTGAATCAAAATTGAAAGAGAAAAATAAAAAAAATGCCTAATCGTTCACAAATTTCCCTATACAAATTCCTTCTGGGACACCCTTTTCAATCGTTTTCAAAACCCACATCGCCATTTCTCATTAACTCGCTTTCGCCGATTCCTACACAACTCCTTTTCAACTCAGCCCCATGTCCAAAACCCACTTTTTTCCTCTCAAAACCCAACCTTTTTCAATACCCCCTGTTCCAAACTACACAAACTCAACACCCAGTTTACCAAAACCTGAGGAAGTACAGTAGTGAGTCAACATCCGAGTTGGATGTGAACAAAGAGGTTGACTCGATTAACCTCAAGTTTGCAGAGGCAAGAGAGGAGATAGAGATGGCAATGGAGTCTAAAGAGACTGTTTATTTCAACGAAGAAGCAGAATGTGCTCGTCGTGCTGTTAAAGAGGTTTTGGACATGTTTGAAGGGCTTTTGTGGAAGCTACCGGATTCCGAAAAGGCGGCTTTGCAGCGTTCAATGGGACTCAAGATTGAGCAGTTGAAGGCTGAGCTTCAACAGTTGGATGATTGATGATGTTGGTTCAAATGGGTTTTCCTCAATTTTTTTGGGCTTTGCTTTGCTTCATTTGTCATACTTGATAGAGGTGAGGGATTAGTGAATTTAGTGGTGACATTTGATTGGGTTGAAAAAGATATGATTTTGAATAACGGGTTAGTATGTTTTACGTTCTATGATTATGATATTGATGGTGATGATAAAGGAAGCTGTGTACTATTTAGGGGAACAATTTAGAATTGTTGTAAACTTGTATCATCTATAAATAGATGATAATAGTATCCTTATTCTTTATCTGATATTTTTATTGTTATTGATGGCTTCTTTGGCAGTAGTGCTCAAAATAGGCCAGTTGTTGATTTTGAAAATCCATGAGGAGTTTGGCAAAAATAGTGTGTTATCAGCAGAGTAATCCAAAAACACAATACAATATTAATACACCTGGTTTAGACAGCCAATAGGCCCGGGGGGATGGGGGGGTGCAATCCATAGCTAGTTGTTCTGCTAGGAGGATGAAGAACAGGTGATCATAAACTCTGATTTACTTAAACAACCATGCTTTGTACACTATCTAAAGCTGCCAATACATCTTAGGAGACGGCATCTTACTAACATGGATGGCACTGAGTACACATATTCAGTTTAAGTGCTGATGCCTTTGGTCATTTTACTTGAGGATATTCGATGTTAACCCCATGGCAATTAGGGCAACTCGATAAGTAGTTGCGTTGCACGTTTTGATCCTTGTATCGAAGGCTAAAACCTGACATGTCTTGAACAAGAAATTGTCTGAAAGAAGACTGGAAAAAGACACTGGTTTGACGAGATTGTGATGGTTATTGTTGACAACAGGCCATGGTTTCTCTCATGCGGTAGGGATCAAACCAACAGTGAAGGCACCAAAACCAGGATGAATTTCCTCACCCTCTTCCATCTCCTTTTTTTTTTTTTTTTAATTATAAAAATGGAATGTGCAGAGATAACATGGAGGGAATGTTGTAGTGAGCTGATTATTAGTATCTTATTAGCATATCTTCCTTTTTTCTTTCCCCAAAAGCACTAAAAATTTAAAAAGAGCGATGGACCAAAGTGAGGACTGAGATTACATGGAGGGAAACAAATGTGTTATCAGATTAGGCATGTGGGATAGCGAAAGGGAAGCATGGCCTGTTTTTACCTGTCAGCTTTTCTACCGCATCATTGGACCTACTTCCAGTATATGCAAGGAGATGGAGGAATTGCTTTCTGATCCTTTCTTCTAGCTTCTTGACTATTAAAGGCTATTCATAACTTATAACAATGGATGGTTGGCTAAATTGGTAAGAGATGGATTGGGCAAAACCCACTAACCCATTGTCGCTTAAAAAAAAAAATTCTTCATTCATGCATTTTTGTTGTAAAATTGTCCTGATATTTGCCAATACAGTTCAATATAGTGTAGTTCAGTATATTGATGACAAAAGTGAAAGCAAACTTACTTGGATTCAAACACTATATCATAACGGTTTTGGGATCGCTCGACATAAGGATTTTAAAATCGAGAAAAATAAAAGAGGAGTCGTCACCAATTTTTGTTAGGGTGTGATTGGTCATTTAAAAGTTTATATTTTTAATAAAACTATAAAAGTGGGTTTAAAATTTATCAAAAAGATAAATTTCGGTCTACGAAAACTATGTTTGGTGGAGTTAGTTACATGTGGGGAAAGATTAGCACCCCCACAACGCCTATAAATTGATATCATTTAATTATGCGCTATTTTCGGTGTTGGATAAAATTGGTTTCAATTTGAAATTCAACACTAATTTCCTTCACTTAAAAAAATAAATTTTGGTTAAAATTTTTTTTTAGGAATACTGAAGAAATCTTTAAATTAAAGAATTATTTTAAAATTCTACAACATCTAGGCAAAATTTAAAATAACTATTTTCGCTTAAGCTTTAACACAATATTCCTTAAAATAAAATAAAAAAAACACTTTTTGTGAAAGATAATTGTTAGTAACTCTATAACATTTTGGCAAAATACCAAGAATTATTTCCTTCGAAATGTTATTTTTGTTTTATTTTATAACATCACAACTTTAAAAATATATATATTTTTGTCTTGTAAAACATTTTATAAGAGAAAGTAAATAATGGTATTGTCAGGTAACAAATACAAATTAAAGATAGCGAAATACGAAATGAGCGTCAACAATAATATAGTGATGCATGTATGCCCATGGATATTATGCCAGATGATAAATGCAATTTTAAAAAAAATGGATTCTTAAATATAATGAGACTACCTTGACTCTCCAACATCTAGGCAGAGCTTAGGTGCGATTGTTTATATTTAAGATCTCAATTTACTATTATACTTTTATTATTAATTAGTCCCATTATTAATGAGGATTAGGAATTCCTATGAAAAACTTGATGAAATAAAGTTTCCTAAATATCCCATCATTTAGGCGGCATTTAGGAACAAGTCATTTCATATGAGATTTTCACATGTGTCTTTAGGGTTTCAGAATAATTTTGAGTATAGGTTTGGGTCGAGGTTTTAAAGCTTGCATGATTTTTAAGCAATGATTCGGGATTGTGTGCTAAATTTGGGGTTTTTAGAATTTTGGATTTTAAGGTTTCGGATTTTAGGGTTTGGGATTTTGGATTTTAGGGTTAGGGGTTTAAGGTTTTGTTTTTAGGGTTTGGATGTTTTAGAGATTTAGATTTTAAGGTTTGAAGGGTTAAGATTTCGTTTTTAGGGTTCAAAAAGTTTAGGGTTTAATTTTAGGGTTTGGAGGGTTTAGGGTTTTTGTTTTTAGGGTTCAAAAGGTTTAGGGTTTCTTTTTTAGGGTTTGGAAGTTTTTTAGGGTTTCAATTTTGGGGTTTAAGTTTTGGGATTTCGATTTCAAGGTTTGAAGGTTTTAGGGTTTCAATTTTACGATTTGAGATTTGGGATTTCGATTTTAGGGTTTGAAGATTTTATTATTTATTATTATTTAATTCTTTATTTTTATTTTTTAAAAAAAACATGAACATCTCTAAAAATCTCCAACATCTGGTGGACTTTTGGAGCAAATTCGATTTTTATGACTTTTGAAAATTAATTAAAAATTTTTATACTTTATACATATATTTTAATGAAAATTTATTATTATCAGTAGTAGTTATTTGTTATTAATCTTATTATTATCATTATACTTTTTAATATAATTCTCCTACATTTAGGCGAAATTATATTTTAGAGTTTGAGGTTTTTATTCCCTCCAACATCTAGACAGAGAAATAACGAATATATTACCCTACTTTATTTTTTATTAGATTATTATTATTATTTTTAAAGCATTTTTAGTTTTTTTTTTTATTTATTGTTCAAAAGTTTTAATTCATGGTTTATTTTTATTATTACTATTATAAAAGACAACAAAATTTATTTTAACACATTTAAACATTTTATCATGTATAAACATTAATAGTAAAATTTAAAATAAATAAATAATATAAATAAATAATTTTTTTTACCTGAACCGGACTGATCAACGACCCTTCGGTTGGACCGAAAAAGGGTCAGGTTGGTGCGCGGTTCAGTTGAACCGGTTGAGGAGCTCTTCGATCCGATCTAATTGAACCGGTTTAAAGCTGTTGGAGGAGCTGGATTAGCGGGTCAATTTCGCAGATCTAGGGTCGGGTCACAAGCACGTGCGGATTGTTCCTAGTCCAAACAACGTTGTTTTGAGCTTTTTTTTTAGATCATTTCCTCTTTTTATCAGAAAAAAAGTTTTAGAGCTTAGGGATTCTCTTTAGCCTTAGCCGGAGTCTGACATCGTGCCGTGGCGTTGGCCGTTGCTGAAATTTGTCGTCGTGGTGGTTGTCGGTGGTCGTTGGTGACCGAAAAAGGAAAAAAAAGCTCATAGAAGCTTTTTTTGGCTTCCCCTTTTCAAATCTGACGTCCTTTTTGTCAGAAACAGTCTCGATTTGAATAAATTGGGCTTTGAAGATTCTATTCTCTTTTTTTTAAAAATAAATTGACACTCTTTTTTTCTTTTTACAGAAAACTTTGGCGTTGAAATTCCTCCCTACGGAGAGGACTGTGTTGTTATTCTGTGGTTTTTTTTTTTTTTGTTATCATAACGATTTTGGAACCGTTAGATGTAAAAAATTTTAAAATTGAGAAAAAATGAGAAGAGTCGCCACCAATCTTTTTTATGATGTGATTAGCCATCCAAAAGTTTATCATTTTAATAAAACTATAAAAACGAGTAAAGCATGCATAAGTAACATTAATAATAATGTTAAAAATGATATAAATAAATAATATATAAAAATAAAAATAAAAAAAAATTTTGAAAAATTTTTTTTTTACTTAAATCGGACTGATCAACGGCGATTCGACTAGGTCGAAAACAGGGACGATTCGACAAGCGGTTTAGTTGAGCCGGTTGAATGACGATTTGACTTATGGTTTAGTTAAACTGATTCAAGGCTGTTGAGGGAAACAAGTCAACGAGCGATTGCGCAGATCTCGAGTCAGGTTTTGGGCATGCACGGATCCTTCTTATGCCTTAAACGACATCGTTTTGCTTAGGGTTAACAGCCAAACCCGAAACCAACGGGTTTCGACCCGATCCGATCCTATAAGGTCAATTTTTTTTTTCAAAATCAAATTTCGAGTCGGGTCAAGTATTATTAAGGGGAAATCGGGGTCGGGTCGGATTCGAATTTTAGGCAAACCCGATCCGATATTATATAAAAAATATATTTTTAAATTTTTAAATTTTTTATTTATATATAATTATATATTTATATTTTAAAAATAATATTTTATATTTTAAAAAATAATATTTTATTAATTTCGGGTCAGGTACGGTTTATATAATATTAAGTTAGGGTATAAAAAAAAAATTTTGGGTTGAGTACGGGTTTTATGTTTATAAAATCGGGCCGGATTTGGGACGAACAAAAACTTACCCTGACCCGACCCATTGTCAACGCTAGTTTTGCTAGTTTTTTTTTTTTTTTTTTATAAAAGTCAACCTTTTTTTAGTTCATTTCACCCCTCTTTAAAAAAAAAAAAAAAGGTCTCTAGTTTCAAAAAATCCTCTCTGGCTTTGGCCGGGGTCCGTTACTGTGTCGTCGCATTGGTTGTCGTCTGGGTTGCCTTTAGTGTCATCATCAATAATCGTCGATGACAAAAAAATTCTAAAATTTATCAAGAAGTTCCTTTTGACCTCCTGAGCTTAGATCCGTCACCCTTTTCACGAGAAATAGCCCTAATCGTTATAGATCGAGGTTTGAAGTTCTCTATGTTTTTTTTTTTTTTAATTTTTTGAATACTAACTGATGATCTTTTTGTTCGTTACAGGTGGCTATGGAGCTGAGGCTCCTTTCCATGGAAAAGACTGTTTGTTTGGTTT